CCTCAATTATCCGGACTAATTGGAGATGAAGGTAGTCCAGAATACTTTAATTTGTCTTTTAATGATAATACAACACGTTTTCTTTTCAATGACAAATCGGTAATATTAAAAGTAAATACTGTATTTAAACCGTGATCAAATTTTCAAGAAACAAACGTTCGTATTGAATTTGGACTACTACTGACCAACGCTAACAGACTACCTATTGTTTAAAAGGCCCTCTGGTGGCGCAAGAAGACGGATTTTATAAAATAAAAAGCAGTTGAAACTGCATTTTTATGAATAAAAATTTGACAAACTATTTATCGTTTTATGACGAGTAAAATTTTTTCGTCGCGTTCGCGGCTTTTAAGTAATGCATAAACCTTCGAGGCGCGAGGCCCTTCGGACCGCGAGGCATAGGCGGTGGCCCACGTTACCCATGCCTTACGCCGCCCTTGGTCATAGAAATGATGTAATTTGAAAAAAATTATTTATAAATACGTATGTCAAGTTATATTTTTATTACAATGCAAAATATATTTAAGAGTTTACGGCCACTGTGCCGGGTGAGACGTTGAAACAAAAAAAGTTATGCATTCCATCACGTACATAAACAGTATCGTAATTCGCCAAGTGCAAATCAGCAAATTCGTAAAATTTTTGTTTATTTTGTTTATCCGGATAATCGAAAATAATCGAGAGATCCAGATAATCGAGGTTCTACTGTATATATATATATTTTTTTAATTTGATTTGCTAATAGTCATATCAGCAATATTTAATTGTTTATTACAATAAAATAACATCTTAACAAATTTATTAAACTATTGTTCTTTGTCAAATTCTTTCTGTTAAAATTTCCAGTGCCAAAGATGCCTTGGAGCACACTCTACACTGCCTCGTTCAGTATACTGAGGATGCTATCATATCCTCAGTTTGTTTATATTATCATTTGGAAAATTTTATTGTTTTTTTTTAATAAACATTTATTGTACACTTCAAAGAATATATTTCATTCATTGATTTTGTATTAGTATTCTGTATATTAATTTTTTATTGGTACAAACTGAGCATCATGCCCTATTTATTTGGGGGAAAACGTGACAGAAAAAATTCCTTTGACACTGTTAACATACACATAATTAAATGAAAAAAAAATATATATATATATTTATAACATATTGGTAGGGAAATTGATTTTTATATCAGTAGTGAACATGTTAAGGCATTGATTCCTATTTACAGACTTGTATGCTGTTTAACATTTATATTTATCAGTTTTTTTTTATGGATATTATTGTTTGAGATAAATACTTTTAGCTAGAATAATGTAGTATTTGTATTTAATTATTAAATTAAATTTATTTTATTTTAATTCTAGCAATTATTTTCATATTAATAGAAACCTTATTTTAAGGTTTTCATTATTTTCCTCTTTATTTGACTTTTAGTAGTAAAATTTTCAAATGGTTTTCATTTATATTTTTAAATTCAAGAAATCCTATTCAATAATTATCTAATAAAATCTACTTTTCTATATAAAATGTCTTAAATCTGATATCTAGTATGTAGTATTTGGTAGATAATTTTGTTTTCCTTGTAAATTCATTCACTTTATATTGTTTTCAGATTCTATATTGGAAATTGTTGATCTTATATATGGTTATCATCAACTTAAATAATTGATTGCTGATTTTTTTTCTGTCCTGCCAAGTTACTTGATAAAGTATTACAAAATTACAAAATGTAAGTTTAATCCTTTGCAAAATATCTTATGCAAGAAAATATCTAAAATTTCAGAGGCTATTTCTTAACACATTTAATTGTTTAATAGATTTTTATTTAAGAATTTTCTATTGTAAATTAGAGAAAGGATTGCCTCAAAACTATAAACTTTAGTATTATTTTACATTTATTATTTCATTTATAATCAGAAGTGAAATATTTCATGTAATAAGTTATTTAATCATGTAATGTTTTGAAGAAGTAGGTTTGATGGAAAAAAAGTAATTTGATCTATATTTAATCTAGTAATTGATTCTTTTAATTAAAGTAAGTGGGGGGGAAATGATATTTTGATTGAACTGTCCTGTTAAGAAAATCCAAAGTAAATTTATAATACATATACTTTTTTGATATATAAAAGATAACTTTAGCCTTAAAAATATTACATATTTATATTTATAACTTTTTGTGATTATAAATGAAGTTTTGATCATCAACTAATACTAATTTAAATTAAGATGGTAACAGCATAATTTTTTTAAGATATAAAATTGTTCATTTGAAAATTTAAACAAGAATATAACATTTTTTTTGATTCACTAACACAAGGTGTGTTACTATTCCAACACTTGGCGATATTTCATCTTTATTTAGTTGAAGATACAACTGTAAGGTATGTTGTAGGAATTTTAACCTTACATATTAGATTTAAGTCGATTCCCTGAAGATGAATCCATATTTAGAACCTTCTATATTATTTGCAATTGTAGTGAATCAAAGAAATTAAGAAAACACAGTTTCAGAAGATTAAAAAAATAATGTAACAATTTTTGTCTTTTAACACACACAATTTAAAACACTACAGTGTATAAAGCATTGTTTTATGCGTTTATTTAATTGAAAAATACATATACAGTGGGTGATCGGCTAACGAACAAATCGGATGACGAACACTTTCGCGAAAGATTTTTATGATCGGATAATGAACACTACACTGTACAAACATAAAAAAAAGCGACAGAAAATAACGAATGCCGATTGATTTTCCCTTGTCTTCAGATAACAATTCGAAACCTTTCAGAGCGCGGGAGATGTTAACATCGACGCTCAACCCGATGCCGATCGGATAGTTTCCCCGAACTTTGAAACACTCCATTGTAATTCCAGCTTTTTGTTTACTTTTCTGACAAATAATTTTTTTATAGTCTTCGTGAGACTGTCGGGCACTCCATAAGTTTTGCGTCGGTTTTTATTTTCTAAAGGTGAGAGCTTAACTGTCCTATCGAGTATTCGTTAATGTTTTAATACCAAAAGTTCGAATTTCATTCAGGCCTCACATTTACATAATTCTTTCATGCGCTAGTTGATTTCTGTTCTCTGAATTTTTGTCAGTGCTTTTCTGAACTTTTTATTTCAAACAGAAATTGATAATATTGATAATATATTGAGCATAAAAAGTGTGGAGTGTCAAGAACTGTGATCACCATAGAAACCAAGCAAGAGATAATAGCCAAAGTAGAGAGTGGGCAGAAGATGTCATGTTGCTAGGCAGTATGGCTTGAACAGGTTTACAGTAGGCACAATCTTAGCTAAGAAAGATATAATCAAGAAGACTCAAAGAGCTAAAGGAGTAATGAAAATCACATCTGAGAAACAAAGATGTTCCATCCATGAAAAAATGGAGAGATTGCTTTTAATTTGGATAAAAGAAAGGGAAATGAAAAGAGATGTAACTAGTATGACTATCATTCAAGAGAAAGCTAGAGAAATTTTTGAAGAACTGAAGAAACAAACTCCACATTTGTCACATGAGGAGATAGAATTCAAAACTAATACTGGATGGTTTTCAAAGTTTAGAAGAAGAATTGGCATTAAACATGTGACAATTCACGGTGAGTCTGCTAGTGCAGATAAAGAAGAAGAAGTTCTGTCTCAAATTTGAAGAACTCATTAAAAAAGAAGGATATTGTCCACAACAAATTTTCAATTGTGATGAAACTGGTTTATTTTGGAAGCGCATGCTGAACCGTACCTACATTATGAAAGAAGAAAAAAATATTCCTGGGCATAAACCCATGAAAGACTGATTGACGTTACTTTTGGGAGCTAATGCTAGTGGTGATATGAAGCTTATCCCGCTTCTTGTCTATCACTCTGAGAACCCTAGAGCATTCAAAAAAAATTCCATAATTAAAGAAAAACTGCCAGTGATGTGGAGGTCGAATAAAAGGGCATGGGTCACGCAGGCTCTTTTCAAAGAATGGCTGTTTGAAGTTTGTGCTCCGAGCATCAAGGATTACTTTCAGACCAATGAATTGCCATTAAAAGCACTGTTGCTATTGGATAATGTACCAGGACACCCAAAAGACCTTGAAGATAATTTGCTGGAAGACTTTCCCTGGCTGACAGTTCAGTTTCTACCTCCGAATACTACTTCGTTGATTCAACCAATGGATCAAGAGGTTATTGCAGGTTTCAAGAAATTGCACATTCGAGCACTGTTTCGTCAGTGTTTTGAAGCATGCCAGTTCTCCTCAACGATGACATTAAAAACGTTTTGGAAAGAAAAATTTGATATTCTTGAAGCTATACGGCTCATTCAAAAGGCATGGTCAGAAGTCACTCAACGACAGTTGAATTCTGCTTGGCGAAAGCTGTGTCCCTCCTGCATTCAGAGATGATGTCCCTGAAATTATGGATGAAATTGTGAAAACTGCTAGCGATCTGGAATTGGAAGTAAATAAAGATGACATTGATAAAGATGAGCTCATAATGGAATCTGAAACTGATCTGACAACAGAAGAACTCCAAGAATACTTAAATGAAGAACACCAAGGAACTCAGCGAGATGTGTTTTCTTCTGAAAAAGAGGAAGATGAAAAAGGATCAATGCCAACATCTGCTATTAACGATCTTTTGAAGAAGTGGGAGGATGTCAGAACAACGGTCTTAGAATGGCATCCAAACCAAGTTGAGGTTAATAGGCTTGGGGATCTCTACGACAACAGCGCTATTAATTACTTTCAAAAAATCCTGAAGAAAAGAGAAAAGCAATCGACATTGGACAGATTCTTTAACCCCTACAAACGGAAAAAACATGAGTAATAAAAATGCAAGACTGTATATATATGTATTTTTATTATTACATATAAATAAACGTAGTAAAAAAGTATATATATTTTTATTTTTTGGAGTCTTCGGAATGAATTAATCAAATTCCCATAGAAACCTATGGTAAATCGATAATCGGTTAACGAACAATTCGGATAACGAAAAAAGTCTTGGAACGGATTATGTTCGTTAACCGATCACCTACTGTACTTNATAAAGAAGAAGCTGAGAAGTTCTGTCTCAAATTTGAAGAATTCATTAAAAAAGAAGGATATTGTCCATAACAAATTTTCAACTGGTTTATTTTGGAAGTGCATGCCGAATTGTACCTACATTACGAAAGAAGAGAAAAATATTCCTGGGCATAAACCCATGAAAGACCGATTGGCGTTACTTTTGGGAGCTAATGCTAGCGGTGATATGAAGCTTATCCCGCTTCTTGTCTATCACTCTGAGAACCCTAGAGCATTCAAAAAAAATTCCATAATTAAAGAAAAACTGCCAGTGATGTGGAGATCGAATAAAAGGGCATGGGTCACGCAGGCTCTTTTCAAAGAATGGCTGTTTGAAGTTTGTGCTCCGAGCATCAAGGATTACTTTCAGACCAATGAATTGCCATTAAAAGCACTGTTGCTATTGGATAATGTACCAGGACACCCAAAAGACCTTGAAGATAATTTGCTGGAAGACTTTCCCTGGCTGACAGTTCAGTTTCTACCTCCGAATACTACTTCGTTGATTCAACCAATGGATCAAGAGGTTATTGCAGGTTTCAAGAAATTGCACATTCGAGCACTGTTTTGTCAGTGTTTTGAAGCATGCCAGTTCTCCTCAACGATGACATTAAAAACGTTTTGGAAAGAAAAATTTGATATTCTTGAAGCTATACGGCTCATTCAAAAGGCATGGTCAGAAGTCACTCAACGACAGTTGAATTCTGCTTGGCGAAAGCTGTGTCCCTCCTGCATTCAGAGATGATGTCCCTGAAATTATGGATGAAATTGTGAAAACTGCTAGCGATCTGGAATTGGAAGTAAATAAAGATGACATTGATAAAGATGAGCTCATAATGGAATCTGAAACTGATCTGACAACAGAAGAACTCCAAGAATACTTAAATGAAGAACACCAAGGAACTCAGCGAGATGTGTTTTCTTCTGAAAAAGAGGAAGATGAAAAAGGATCAATGTCAACATCTGCTATTAACGATCTTTTGAAGAAGTGGGAGGATGTCAGAACAACGGTCTTAGAATGGCATCCAAACCAAGTTGAGGTTAATAGGCTTGGGGATCTCTATGACGACAATGCTATTAACTACTTTTGAAAAATCCTGAAGAAAAGAGAAAAGCAATCAACATTGGACAGATTCTTTAACCCCTACAAACGGAAAAAACATGAGTAATAAAAATGCAAGACTGTATATATATGTATTTTTATTATTACATATAAATAAATGTAGTAAAAAAGTATATATATTTTTATTTTTTGGAGTCTTTGGAATGAATTAATCAAATTCCCATAAAAACCTATGGTAAATCAATAATTGGTTAACAAACAATTCGGATAACAAACAAAGTCTTGGAATGGATTATGTTCGTTAACCGATCACCCACTGTATATTTTAGATTACTGTCTTCGTAATAACTGGTAATTTTTTAAAAATACAATACTTGTGTGTGCTGTTAGCACATCTATTGTGATGCTTTTCAAGTTTTTATAACATAAATGTAGTTGTAAACTATCATGTTTTCCTATTTTGATTTGTTTATAACTAACGTATGGAATTCTTTTTACAATACAAATTCTGCTAGATAGAATTATTCAAAGAATTCTTTTTAATGAAATTTACAAAGTTTTTGTGTTTTTATTTACTGAATAATTTGCTTTAAAAAAATTTTTTTTCAGTTTATATTGTTGCATAAATGATTTTCTTTGAATTTTATAGTTTATACATACATGTATATGTGTTTCAGATAAAAAATTGAAATTCATTTTTTGTTAAGAATTGTGATCTGCATCATTTGAAATTTTATATTTATTTCTCCAACTTGTTTTTATTGTCTTGAATTTCTGTCAGAGGCTTGAGGCCATGACATTCTCTGGATAATTTACTGCATTTTAATCTATCATTTTCTTAATAAGAATTTTATTTATTCTTTTAAAGAATGACTTCTTACTATTTACTCTAAAACAAATTATATGAAATTAGAAATGTTTCTATGGATAAGTTTTAAATGTTTCAGTTTAAATTGTTGAATCTGGATAATTAGGATTTATTCTGATTTTATTTGGAAATGTGAAACTGAATAAATATAAAATATTGACGATAAATTAACCCTTCTCCAAAAGTGCATTGAATATAATTTATATAACTGGTTATAATGGATTGAAAACATTACTTGATTATAACGCTATCCAGATTTAGCTATATACTATGAATAGGCCTACATCAAATTTGTTTTGCATGGATTTTGTATATTTATCATCTCAGATTTAATGTAATAAAATCTAATAATGTTAACTATATACAACTATTTTTCATTGTTATTTTTTTAATAATAATAATAATAATAATTTTTTACAGATTATTTTAAGATATATTTAAAGCAACATGGCAGAAGCTCACTCAGCAGTTGCTTTTAGTTTTTCTATTACACATGAAGGTGTTCACGTTAATTATGATTTTGAAGTTTTGGATCTTGTTTGGCAAAGTGGTTTGCGATCATGGAAGAAAAGATATGCAAGATTTAGAGTAAATATGGCCTTTTCTAACTCTTAATTTTAATTATAAATATTATTGTTCAAGTTAAGACAGGACATGAAAAATTATATACATTTGGGAAGATATTATTTTACATTTGAAAATTGAAATAGTAGAAAATAAAATTAATATGTTTCAATGTAAATTATTAACTTGTAAGATAAATGTTGAAAAAAGAAAAATAAAACAGTACAAATGAACTGTAGTTTATTTTTTTTAAAACTAGGAAAATTTTGATAACTAAAAAAATATAGTTAATTACTGTTGACATATTTTAAATATCATTGATTATGAATTTCTCAAAATCATAATCAGTGATATTTAAAATATGCCAACAGTAATTAACTATATATGAATTTCTCAAAATCAGTTATTCAGTCAGTAATTTATTATTAGAATAATAAATTACTGATTAAATAACTTTTGCATGCTTTACTTGAATTTATTGTTAGTCATTTTTAACAGAGAGGGATTGCTTGAAAGTATTTATAAAATTAACTTCTGTTCTCAACATTTATTAAATTAGTTTTTCCAAAGGGTCTAATTCAATGAATTTAATTATTTCAGTTCAATTAGCAACTATTATTAACTGAATTCAAATGATTCTATTGAACTTTTGTATATAATGTTTAAAAATTTTCAGTCTTTATGGAAAAACAAATGGGATAACTACTACTAACAGGATATTATTAAATTCTGTTAGTAGTTGATTATACAAATCTTGTCTTGTTTAATATATAAATAAAGTAAACATATAAAGATCAGCATTGGAACTTGAAAAAAAAATTATACATGCATACATGCAAGAAAAAATAAGCACTTCTATCTTTTTAATTTTTATTAAAAATGTTCTTCTCAGGTAAACATGTATTGATTTTATATATAACAAGAAAAGTGACAATATAAATTTCTTGACACCTTTCTTTGGATTTATCATCTATATATATAAAAATGAATGTATGTCTGTGTGTGTGTGTGTGTGTGTCCTTCATGCATTACCACACCGTTTATCCGATTGCCGTGAAACTTTGGAAAGTTGTTTAATATACTCCAGCGAAGGTTTGTGGCATAGTATGATTGCCATGAAGCTTTGGAAAGTTTTTTAATTTTTTAATACACTTCCACGAAGTACATTTATCCTACGATAGATGGCGCGCGTTTACACGAGCATTCGTGCACAGTGTGTTCGATCAATTTCAAATTGTGAAGACAATTTCCCCCCTTCAAAAAATATCTTTATATATGCATTTGTGAACTGTTATTTACGATATTTATAATAATTTTTGTTTAATCACTTTATTTCGACTTTTTTTGCTAATTATGTATTCGCTCGAACTTCGTTAAAATCTTAACTGTACCCCGAACAACGACCGAAGTTGTAGGAAGAAATTCGCCTATTTTACCGATCTAGATATTCCCCTTTTTCAAATTTTAATATCGACTCAAAATAATTTAAAAAGACAAATTACAATAAAACGGTTTATTATCCAACTATCAGAAATTTCACAACATGCCAAGGAAGAGAGGAAGGAGCAATTAAATAATAAAAATTATAAAGGATTAAAAAATATTGCGCTTCTGACAATTGCTGCGAGTATGTGGGCTAAATTTGGAGAATCCGTGCTTCTTGCATGGACAACTGTATGTGGCCAGCTCATGCGTCGGAAAACCTTCCGATTTATTTGTGTACGCACCAGACGAAAAAACAAAAAATATTGTGTGTCCACAAGCACTCCAATAAATAAATAGAATTGAAACAACACTTTGAAATGTTTTCCCGATGAAAACGAATAATAATAATAATAAGTTTCAATAAAAATGATAAAATGTAAATTTAATTTTATCATAACGAGTTTGCTTGAATTTCGTTTCTTCTGAGATCGCAGCAATGCGCGATGGGTAAGCTAGTGTCTTATAAATCTTCTGTAGCTCTATCCTTTTCTCTGATGATAATATTTCTCTAACAATATTCTCCTAATTAGATGCTACAGTTTCACAAATATTGCATTTGGATTCTGTATTTCTGTCCTGCTGCTGTATTTCTAAGCAGCTGTTAGTTAATCTCAAACAATACTTTTCTTCCAAAGTCCTTTTAAATTATTTAAGCTTATCAGAAATCTCTCTAAGGTCAACAATAAGTTCTTATCTGTTTTTACATAGAATTTTGATATGGAGCTTTTATTTACAAAATTGTTGATTAGAATGAATTGCACATTAACTTCATGTAGAAGTGACTGTTTATATCTCATGAACTCAGTTACTTGAACACAATTATAATGTTTACTTAAGACTCACCAGAGTTGACCAAATTAACCTTAAATTAAAGTTTTATATTGTTATAATAAAGTTTCCTAATTATTGGGATATGACAGAAATCTTAACAAGAATAGACTAATCAGTAATTCTATTATCTAGTAAGAAACTGCATATCTGCTTTTCACCTGATAAATTCTCTCTTTCTTAAAATTAAAATACACATTGCAATTTTTAGTACTTGCCATTCTAATATAATCCAATGATATTTTGTTTTATTTTGCTTTGTTAATGCTCAGTAATTTTTTTTTTAATGTTCTGTTCTATATCTGTTTATTTTGAATTATTCTTGACTTTTCTCCCCTTTTAGCTGAAAAAGACTTTTAAAAAATTGCTCAAATTTTAAAACTTGCTTATTTTTGTTTATTCATGAATTAGTAGTAAATTTTGTATGCAAATTTAGTAACACAACATGCAGGTCTACTCATAATACATGACAATACACTTCATTAGCCCTTTGATTGGTAATGATGTATAAATATGTCAGCATGTTTCTATGTCAAAAATGATAATGGTGTATATACACATTCTTAAACTTTGATTCAAATTAGTTTTGCCATATATATATACATTATATATATATAATGTATAAATGCATAAGACATAGAAACATGCTGACATATTTATACATCATTACCAATCAAAGGTCTAATGAAGTGTATTGTTATGTATTATATATATATACAGTAGAGCGTCGTTTTTCTGAAAGTCCGAAAGAATTCCAGTCGGCAAATTTAAATTTTCGCCAGTGCTTTGGCGCTTCAATCTTGGGCTACTCAAATATTTTACGTTTTTGATACTAAATTAAGTTCTGAAGTATAATTTTTTATTGTTTTTATATTTTTCAATATATTTATTTTGTTTGTACAAAATAAAAAAATAACTTTTAACGATACAATAGTCTTTGTTAGGCTTAACATCAACGAAAATTCAACACGAAGCGACACGCAACGGAGAAAAATTTCGACATCGGATACGTTAAACTATTTTTTCTTATGTAAAGCAGTTATCTGAAATATCAGTTATCCGGACAACCCCAGTCCCCAATTGAT